GATAGAAACGGCGGAGATATTGGATTGCGGTAGCCTTTGGCAGCATAGAAACATTTCAAGTCATTAGCGTAGACAGCCAATTGGCAAATATGAAGCTGAGGAGCTCCATAAATCGCACATCAAGGAGATGATATATCATAAACATACCCTAACAACAGTTGGCAGGGGCGGCTTATACTCCTCCCCCAATTCCATGGTCTTCTCGCAATAATATCTCACCAACTCCAGCTCCTCTTCAGGCGTCAAGCACTCAATCTCCCTCTCAGTTTGCTCCCCATTCTTCCCCGCCGTCTCTGGTGTTTTATTGCTACTATCATCTGCATCGCCCGCTGGGTTTGGCGTACCGCTCCCCGACCGCGGAGGAGCTGGGGTGGTATGTTTCGCGTCCGTTGTTGACCGCCGTAATGCGGCCCTGACACGCTCACTGGCGACTGCGTTGGTGTTGGCGCGTATTGTGCGGAGGGATTCTTCGGTAAATGACCAGAGGCGGTATTGTGAAGACGTGCGGTAGATCTCGTCTTCGTACATGGTGATGGGGGTTGTGGGGGGGGGAAGCTGGAGCTTTAAGGTTCAGCTTCGGGAGTGAACGTATATCAGCGAACCCTGATTTGCAGTTTTATTGTGGATCATGACAATCGTTTGGGGGTAGGGAAGGGATATAGAATTTGAAGATAGCAATGATTTGAGCTTTGCAGGTGGTTGTTGCAGTTGTCAGGATTTAGTTGCAGGATATATGGTCCTTCAGGGGATGTTGAAATTGAATGCGGGAGAAACAACACAAAAGAAAAGTGCAGTGCCTGATGTCATCGCCAAAAGTGGAAGCATGTGTATCTAGACCACGAAGCTTGTTCTCAACACAGCAGATATATGCAGTGCAGTGCAACAACCACAAATAGATGTTACATATATAGTGTCTACGAAATGCAGCATTTGAGAGAAAATTGTACTGCAGGTCCAAGCACAAAAATCAAGTCTAATCCCTAATCAATGACACAGTAACTAGATAACCGGAAGGTCCATAATGGGATGCGAAATTCTTCATCTTTGCTCCAACGCCCAGGTAATGGGTAAATCGAAATAAATATATAAAACGAAATTCGCCAGGCACCAGGCACCATACGCTTTCCCCCCTCCTCCATCAATTTGCTTCAAGGTTCATTCACAAGTAAGATGGCTGAGAGGGATGAGAATGCTATAAAGAATAAACAGGGAAAAAAAAAAAAAAAAAAAAAAGGAGACGGGAAACTCGCCAAGACCAGTAGCAGTATAGAGACAGCGCAGAATGGGAATGGGAATGGGAAGGGAAAGAAAAGAAAACACATTATAGTATGTATAAAACAAAGCATAGAACAGGATTCTGTGGACAATAGAGAAGAGGAAAAGACCAAAGCAAAGACTAAGAGAATAGCTCCATAACAAAGCTAACGGGTAAAGAGAGGGCCGGGGTGAGGTATCCCTAATTTTCCTTCCAATCGTTTACGCATCTCGAAATCGCCTGTACGTTTATATAAACTAATTCATGGCTCGCCCAGAAGGCGGGCTGTAACGTCACCCATATATGCCTCTTCCAGCTCGTAGTCCTCCCCATCCATCCGGTCAATGCCAACATACTTGAAAGCAGATACCACACGTGGAACATCGAACCCCATGTTGCAGAAACGATCGACGAGATCCTTGTTGTACCCCTCGTATCTACAGAAAGGTAATAGTCAGTATATAGGCAGCAACCAACAATTTTTTTTTTTTTTTTTTTTTTTTTAAAACCAAACCAAAGACACCAAAAAAATAAAATAAAAATAAAAATAATAAGAAATTGAGGAGTCCATACGCAGCTAGCTGTTCCCGCTCCTCCTCTTCCTTCGACTTCTGCTTCTGATTTCTGATTGATTCATCCGTGGCCCCACCGCTGCTCTCGCCCAGCTCTCGCTCGGGGGCACCGGCATATTTGATGGCCCACCTACGCGCATGCCGCTCGAACTCTTTGGGGTTCCGCATGAGCATATTAGCCACCTCTGCGTCTTGTGGGTCCTTGGGTTCGGGTGTGCTGAGGAGGGACTGGAGGGAAAGAAGAGCGGATTTGATGGTGAGAACCGGGGACCAGGCGGTTGAGAGGGTGTCGAGACAGATAGCTCCCTATATGATGGTGCCGTATCAGCAGATGGACAATCCTTCTTCCCGTCTCCATCTCGCCCCTATTCCTTCAACTATCATCAAAAGGATTCATTGGTTTTTTGGAGGATAGTTTTATCTGTATCTTTGCTTTCTTTTCTGTGGTAGTTGACTCACAGTTTGACTGCTAACATTCGGATGCCAGACCTTGGTATCGAACTTCATTACTGGAGGGCGGAAAGGGTACTCGTCAGGGATCTTGATATCTACGTAGAACGTCCCATCCTCATAAGGGGTACCGGGGGGGCCTTGAAATTGGCCCCTCAGGTGTGTCAAATCATCTCCGTCCCCGACCGGCTGAGCAAAGATTTTCGAGTGTCTGTCTGCAGGGGCGTCTTCGCAGATATCCTTGAGTTCCTTGATGATGCGGCGGTTGCGGTGGGAGGTGGACATCGTGGCTGGATGAGCGGGGAGGTGGAGTTGATTCGGGTGAGAGTGAGAGCAAAAAGAAAAGCAAAAAGTAAGAAAAAAGGAAAAAGTAAGAAAAAGAAAAGAAAAAGAAAAAGAAAAAGAACGGCAGTGATTTAAGTTATGGGGTGAGTAGTCGTGGTAGTTGTGGTGATGATAGTTTCGCAGTGCTTGCTTGTATTGAGAATAGATCTGAGGGGGTAGAGCAGGAGAAGAGGTTAACGACGATGCAGTTTTCCTTAGCTTATCAAAAATTAGGATGCGGGATTGTTGGGGTCGAAGATCCCGGCAAGGCAGAAACGCCAAGTTCTGTTAAAATATTCCGCGTTGGGATGGGAGCAGGTCAAGCAGGGGGGAAATGAACGGATGTCGTTATGTAGTTGGTTTGATATACCCTGTAG